GTCAACGTTATTCACGATCGGGAGGAGATCTTCGAGACCGCCATGGACGGTCCGGAAGGCCCCTGCAGTGAAGTACGAATCCCCCCCGGCCCATTCTTCCGGGCATTTGTCATGATAAATACCTTCTGGGCGCCAGACTGCGCTGCTGATATGGCAGCGCAGAAGCCGGCATTGCCACCTCCAACGACAAGAACATCGCAATGTGAAGGAAGGGCCATTGTCGAAGGTGGAAGTCGAGGTTTGCTCGGGATGATTGCCGTTGCATCATTCTTTGGTATAAATAGTTGAGTAGCCGCGGAGTTTTGCCGAAGATACGCTTCAAACTGCGGGGGAACAAGAGAATCCAAATCGGGCGTCCGATAACTAGTGGGCTTGACTCTGCGTTTACAGTAAAGAGTACCGACGATCCTGGTGACTGGTAAGAACAATGTCATTTACTATATCTGATATCTGGCTCCACGAGAATAAATACACGCCAATACCGCCATCGAGAACACCTTGCGCGATTAAACAGGCCCATAATGCCAAGTGAAAAGAGCTGAACAAGCAAATGGTTAAAGAATACATGAACGGGTAGATCGCTTTTGTTTATACTATGATGGACAATTCATGCCTCTCCAAGGCGTCATCTCCCAAGGTAGGATAGTAAGGAATCATTGAATCCGCGCTTTGCACATAAGCATCGTTGTAAAGCCGCCAGTATGGTGTACGGACTTTGCGGGCAGGGTGGAACAGGCCTGCCCAGACGTAGTTCATGACTACTCCCGTGCCGACAGCCATGCGGATGGCATCGATGGCTTCGATAACACGGTCGATAACGTGAGGACTCGTTTCGAAGATGTTGGGGAATACTAAGTTGAGAAGATGAACCATTGCATCTTCACACCCAAGACCGACCACACCCAAAGCAATGTGTTTGACAACACTGGCGGCGGTCTGTCGATGCACTTGATCTCTATCGATCAGGGCATCCTCAAGGAGGGGCGTAACGGCATACACGTAGTCCTTGGCCATCTCGCCAATGTACTCGAACAGGAAGGACATGGCCTTCAGAACACCATTCTGGACGTTGAGTTCGGGTACGCGGTATTCGTTCATCAGAGCTGGAAGGACAGTGAATGGAGCGCAAGTTTCAGCAACGATACCAATGGCGACGGCAGTACAAACACGGGACTGACGCTCCTGCACACGTAGGTTGTTGAGCAATGTTGCCAGGACATCTTGAGGACCGATTGCCTTGGCGATGAAACCGAAGGTGTTGTTTGCCGCACGACGGATACCCTTCTTATGTGCCTTCAACATGTCAAGCAACTCGAAGCAAATACGCATCCACTCGCGAGCATTCACGGATTCAGGACCACGGTCTGCGATACGACCGACCAGGTCGATGGTGTTTTCCTGGACCTTCTCATGACGATTCCGCAGAATTGGTGTAAGGCGAGGAAGAAGGTCTCTGATAGGTGGTTGCATCTGGTTGATACCAACAACGGTGACAATGGAACGTAGAGCGCCAAGAATGGAACCAAGGACTTCTGGGTATTCTTCACCCAGGTATTCGTATAGTACAATGCCAAGCTTGCCCATCAACGCGTCCTCACCACACTGCTTCATGACCATGGCAATGCGTGAGATGAGGTCTGCAGCTTGCTGACGGACGGTAGCGGACTTGTTGTTCAACCTCCAAAGAATGGTACTGACGATCTGTGGTAGATACGGCTTGCAACGAGTGCCAAGCGCATTGACCGCAGTTCCAAATCCGTTCAAAATCACGATATCCTCGATGCTCTGCTCCTGGAAGGCGTAGAGAACACCGTCGATGAGCCTCTCCTCCAGTCTCTCGGAGATATCTGCTGCTCCTAGAGAAGCAATGAGTTTCTCTACGGTTTCCACTGTCATCTTCCGGTAAGGCTCGCTCTCGTCTTTCAAGTTGTTGACCACGCGCTCCAAAATCTCACCAACACCAACCTTTTGTCCAAGGTCGACAGTGGTGTCAACAACTTGGCGGTAGTTCCTCCTATCAAGGGCCATGCGCCTCACCCAGAAGCTCTTGAAGAAATCAGTCAAGACATGCTCTTTGAGGTAACTGGCCGTCACACCGTCAGTGCTAGCGCACTGTGATACCACCTTAAGAACGACCTTCTTCATCTCCTCATCCGGGGAAGAAAACTCCCGGAGAAGGATTTCCATGATCTGACTGGTATAGTAATTGGCGTACTCCTCGTCCATGAGAGGAATAATGTATCCAACAGCCTTAAGGAACGCAGCCAGACCTTTACCGCGCTGCTTCCTGGCTCCCGTCCACAGGGGATTTAGGATCTCGTCGAAACTCTCGATACCGTAGGGGTTGGCGGCTTCGGCCAAAGCTGCCACTGCTAATGCGGTGACCGTTCTGACCTTAGCTTGCTCATCGCTGAGATTGTCGGCAATACAATCCACCAGACCCTTCAGATGGGGAAGGATAGCACACCCCATGAGGATGGGAATCTGCTGGACGATCTTGACACCAGTGTGTCTTGCTTGCCAAGACTTCTTACTACGACACACAGCACGGAGGAAGGGAAGGAGAGCGGGGATACCGAGTGCTGAAGCGACCACAGCGAATGCTCGGGCAGTTGTGTTTCTGACATACTCATCCACGTGATCGATATCGGGACGCATCGTACTGATCATGGTAGCAAGACCAGCTGCCTTCGCTAGATTGGAAATGATTTCTCTACCCTCGACACGAGCATAGTAATCCTGGTCAATAAGCAACGGCTCGATGACAACGAGAATTTTGTGTACGTAGGGGCGGACAAGATCGTCTAGCTTATAAAGAACACGGTCGATAACCTTCACCAACAAGTGGCGCTCTTGATCTTCAAGCGACTTCTCCATGAGCAAAGGAAGGATCTGGTTAAATAAGGGACCGGCCCCAAATTGCCGTGCATTGTCTGTAAGCTGACGCAAGGCAGTCTTTCTCATCGGTGGTGTACCATTCTTGACCTTCAACAGCAGCCTCATAATCTTCCGCTCTTTCATTTCATCCACAGACATTACGCTTTCATCCCCTCCTTCCATAAGCTTTCCGAAATATGCCATATCCTCGGGCTTGAAGAATTGGAGATCACCAACTCCTGGGATCTCTGTAGGAAGTTGCTTGCCCAAGGCACGGGCGCTTTCGGGTTCTTGCATCATGAAACCTCCAACGCCAGTGGCGCTGGCCATAGGAGCTGGGGTGGACATAAGTTTCCTTGCCGGAGTCCGGATTGGTGCGTAGCCTGGAGGAGGATCAAGGACCTTGTAGCCGTCAGATTCACCCGGGAGCATGAGGTCAAGCTCCTCATCCGAGAAGGGGGCGTTGCGGGCAGATATGTCAGTTCCAAAGCTACTTGGCATCATCGCCCCACCAGACTGGGAAGGATGCATTGGGGTTGCAAGACCCTGGTTGCCAACAGGGGTGGCTGCCCCAAGAGCTGGCGCCTGGTCCCACCGCGATCGACGTTTGGGTGCTTCCTCACCTGGGACAGGTGGGGCAGGTGTTTGGTCCCAGCGTGACTTCTTAGTCTTTGTGTCTTGAGGTTGAGGAGCCTCGGGGGCTGCTTCAGTCGACTCGGAACCTATATCCCATCGCTGCTTGCGCTTGCGTCCCGTAGCAACGGTGACGGTCGAGCCGGCGTCGGCATTCTCTTTGTCCTCCAATTTCAACGTGGCCTCATGTTCTGCGATATCGTTCTCGCCACGAGTCTGCTTATCAGTGATCAGCTTCTGAACACGCTCTTCTTCTTTTTCAAGCTCACGCAGAGCCATGACTTCACGATAAGTCTGGCCCTCACCCTCGACGTTCGCGTGAGTGTTCGCGGCAAAGGGATCAGCTCTGGTGGGTGTCAATGGGCCGCGGTTGAACCGGCGCTTTTGATAGTCCGTCTCGCGGTCTGCAATCCTGGCCGCCTTCTCGCGGCCGAGAAGGATGTCCTCCTCTTCCACTCCATTTCCGTGTGCGAATTCATCCATCTGGCTCTTGGTTGCGGTGTATTGTCCCACCAAGCGGTGGCCACCATCCGCATCTTCCATCTCCTCATCATCGCCATTAACAGCAATCGAGGTATCGTAGCCCGCAAACCTATCGGCGCCATCGCGATCGTAGAGGCTCGTATCGAAGGAATCAGTCAGGGAGGCCTTGGTCGAGTTGTCAGTGCGCTGGCTTGACGGTTCAAAGGTCCTAGAACCTTGCTTTCCAGCTGCAGCGGCGTTCCGCTCAGCTTGGAGCCTCCGGATGGCTTCGAAATCAGCTGTGAGAGTGGTTAGCCATGGGGTAGACTGAGCCATAGGGAGAAACCTACAGTCAGACATGGTTACGGTAAACGGTCGGTCGAAGATCAGACAGGTGACAGGTAATCACAGGAAGGGGTAGCAATAGCTACATTCGGATCAGACACCGTTGTCACGGCAATCTAGGGGATAGTGTAGGACGCAATGCGCTGATGCCTATGATGATGAAAATACCTTCAGCGCGACAGGACGTTCGGGCGGCGGGACTAACGCGGTAGATGACTAATGGGGTGCACGTGATATTAGGATGAATGCTGGTTAGTGCGGCTACGCTTCGAGAGCTTGGCAATAACGACACTCGGGAAAGACAGTAGTAGAATGATCGGTTTAGTGGGAGAGTCGATAGTATATCAGTTAACAACGTGAGACCAATGATTGAAGCAACACTACGAAGTCGGACAGAAGCATTTAACGAGATCGAAGAAGTTTCAAAGAGGTTTCAGGACCTGGCCACAAGACAAGATACCATGTCAATGCCAGCTGGGCAATATATGTTGTATCGTCTTAAGATACTACTGAAATTTCTTCACCCTCTGTGTTTTCCTTTTGGATCAAATCAGTATCTGTAATGAGCTTCCTGTCGATCAACGAGTGTCTCTCTCCTGTTAGCATGTTAACTTAAAATCATCAATATTCATATGTATGATGGTTAGAAACGTGTAAATCAAGGAAGCAAAAAAGACAGGGTTTGCTCCTTGAGGGAGTCGAACCCTCGACTTCAGCTAGCCAAGTCATGCGGAATCTGTTGTCCAGAATTACCACATAAGAGCCACGCCATAACCACTAGGCCAAAGGAGCTTATCCTTAGCCAGTGGCAAAATCTATTATGTCCTACGTTTTTCTTGAAATTGCCTTTTTCTCTTGCTTCCACGGTAGGTATCATTTACATCCATCTATAGATATGTTTGCTGGCATTGCTTGAGGGAGGCATGATTTTGTAGCATGGCTAATACGTTATTACATTGAATCGAAGCCTATTTTGTTATACTTTAATTCGGTGTTTATCAGATGCTGGGAGTATTGAAGGCTTTCTTTGATCCAATTGTAGGTATCTACAGTTACACTAACCAGCAGGGCACGATCCGATGTCTATGCACCATCTTTGAGAAGATAGTAGTAAGCTAACGACATATCCTCAGAATGCTTAAGTCCTGCTCTTCGTGTCTCTTTGAAGCTTCGAAATGAGCCCATATAACGGTTGTGCATGGATTATCGCCCCTGTTTAGATAGCGATGAGAGTGATAGATGACCACAGTTGATTTGACAAGCGATCAACGCACACAACGTTCTCTGAGTTCCGTATTCTCTGCGACTGGAGAACGATTAGATGCATTCTCCTCCTCATCGTGGCAGTGTAGCCCTAAGACAGCTTTCTCATGTTCTTCTGACAGATGATGTGCGCCCACAAAAAAACCGGCAACAAGACTCACACCAGCAAACGCGACATACTGTCACATAGTCAGCGAGCACTATTGATCTAGGTCAAAGATACCAACCATAATCCACGTTGTCCGTAATGAGTCAAACAACGCCTGCCGGACAATTTTTCTCTGATCCGGGGGAAGCGTCCCGATCAACTCTATGTTGGCTGTGACATTTGTCCCTCCCAGCAGACTAGCGAGCTCCTCACCCAGAGAGTGTACTAGTTGCGGACCTTGTTTAGCCATCTGGTTTTGAAGAGCAACGCCTCCAATAACGACCGAGATGGCCGTAGACATGGACCTCACGAACCCGATCGTAGCTGTGGCTGTTGCGGTGTTTTTAGCACCAACTACTGCCTGTAGCGCAAGTAGTGGTCCCTCAAAGTTCATACCCACTCCAATGCCGGAGATAATCTGGAATCCAAAGATTTTACCCCAACTGGCTGTGACATCCAGGTTGATAAGGAGTCCAACGCCGAGGGTCAATAGCACGAGCCCAAGCCACATCGGAAGTACATACTTACCAGTCCTCTGAATGAAAACCCCGGTAAAGGCGCCTGAAAGTGAGCAGGAAATAACAAAGGCCAGGAGATAAACGCCGGACTTGATCGGGCTAGCGCCTAGGACTGCTTGGAAATAGAGAGGTAGGTAGAATGCCTCTCCCATGAAGATAAACCCATGACAGAAACAGACTAGGAAGGCGGCGATGCCGGATCGATGGCGGAAGAGGACAAGAGGTATAACTGGGTATTTGGCGAGTTTCCACTCATTCAGCACGAACAGGCCCAAGATTACAATGCTAAAAACAATTAGGCAGACGACTGTCGCTGAGTCCCAGGGATGGATGACGCCGCCAAAGTCGAGCGCGAGAAGCATCATAATACTGCTACCCATCACAAATAATGAGCCAACCCAATCGACGGCTTTTAGCCCATCCCATATCGGTGTGTGTGGGGTATCGAGCTTTAGAACAAGCCACAGCGTAAGGAAAGCAAGACTAGTGATTGGCACTAGGAGTCATATAAATTAGCAGCTGTCATAGAGTGGTTTGTGAGACAAATCGCTGATGATGTCCGAGAAGCAGAGAAACAACATACAGTTAATCCAAAAGCACCATCGCCAGCTGTTATACCCCATTGATAAGCGTACGAAGAAGTCAATTTAATCATTCTCGTAATACTTACCTCGCTCTTTCCGACAGCACGCCGCCCAGCACAGGACCAATTCCACTAGCTAAAGCCCAGACCACAGATAGAAGACCAAAGTAGAGCCCCCGGTCTCTAAGTGAGAATAAGTCACCAACACAGATGTTGACCAGGGTCATCAGCCCTGCAGCGCCTAGGCCTTGCACAACACGACCAAACAGAAATAATGCTATTGTGTCACCAACAGAGCAGATCAGACTGCCTGCAAAGAAGATTGCATTCCCCCACAGTAGCAGTGGTTTCCTCCCCCAGATGTCAGATAGTTTCCCCCATAAGGGAATGGACGCAGTATGAGCGAGTATATAAGCACTCCCGATCCAAGTGTACCCTGAAGCAGAGTGGAAATGACCGGCAATAGAGGGTAGAGAGGTAGTAACAATGGTGGCATCTAATGCGGCCACAAAAGTTCCAGCGCAAAGGCAAGACATGATTATCGAAATTTGAAGAACACTGCGATTAGGAGTACTCATGATAGTTTGAGGCTCGTCCGGGGCTATTGCGTTCTTACTAAATTTTTCTAACGTTATTTCACAAATCTGCTGTTAGAGGCATGAGTAAAATGAAGACCTTCGGCCTGCTCTGTGACCCTAAATGTTTTATATAATGACTTAGTGCGTGCCTCTAGAATGATAAGAAGGGTGCGCGTACTTTGTTCTTTTCCGCCCTAAGTTTTGCGACAAGCACTAATATCCAATGGCAATGACAGATCAGATCCCCACAGCCGTCTGGTAACGATGCCGAGATACACTGTGAATATATCGGCCTTGGGCGTCTGATAGTGATTGCAACTGCCCAGAACAAACTGACGAAGCAAGTGTTAGATAGCTCTAAATATCAATAGCGGTTAACCAAGAAGGATACATGATTGATAGTCATTCTACGTCGTCTAATAAAGTAATAAGATAGGGCTCGTTCTCGTTCTCGTTTCCGTATCCGTATCCGTATCCGTTTCCGTTCTCGTTGTCGTTCTCGTTCTCGTGTCGCCCCCAATATCTCGTCTATAATCTTACAACAACTAGTCATACCACCCACCGGATCTCTACAACAAGGGTCACTAGCCTGTGACTGTGTTAACTGTATTTCGAGGCTCTATACATGTGACCGTAGCCGAACTGTTGAGCCATTGAACGTGTTCTATGACAACAGCTGGATAATCTTCGGGTAGCCACAAAAGTCATGGCGCCCCGACGGACACACAAAAAGTCAAGGAATGGGTGTGATCAGTGCAAGGAACGGAGAGTCAAGGTAAGGATTATTATGTAAACAAAGCACACCGATGGCTCTCAACATCTGCTCTGGGTCTTATAATTGACCAGTGGGTCCCATAACTTGGAACGCACCCTAATCTGTTTGACAGTGCGATGAGAAACATCCGATATGCTCCAATTGTACCGCTCGGGAGCTCCTTTGCACTTACCTGAGGATCCCCCAAGCATCATCTCCGAGACGCACGGTTCATGCAGTGGCTGATCACTCTCAGGGCCCACCTCCCCCTGAAACAGCACAGCAAGAGAAACACGACAAGCAGCCTATCAGCTCTGTCGCAGCTACAGGGCCAAGCTCAAGCTTCAGTCTTCGTGACCTCGAACTCATGCATAAGTTCTCCACCGAGACGTACAGGAGCTTGTGTGGAGACCAGTCAGACATGGACGATTGGCAGGTCCTCATTCCCCAGCAATCCTACAACCATACCTTCCTACTCCACGGCATCCTCGCACTAGCAGCCTTGCACATAGCAGTTACTGCCCCAGAGCCAGCTCGCGCACTATCATACCTTGATACCGCGCTCCAGTATAATAATATGGCATTTGCACCATTCCGACAAGAACTTGACTCCCTCACCCCGCTTAACTGCGACGCTGTGTTCGCCCACTCCGCCATCATCACTGTCATTGGTATTGCATTGCCACGCCTTAGTGCACAGCACAGGGGCGAGTGCTTTAGCATGATCGAAAACATGGTCACCGTATTCGAGTTACTGCAGGGCTCGACCAAGATCTCACGTATCAGTCGGCTGTGGCTTAAAGGCGGCGTATTTTCAAAGTATGATTTTTGGCAGATGGAGAATGGAGATCTGGATTCCGAGATGACGATTGCCATTGAGAAGTTGAGCGGGCTAAATAATTGCATCGCCGATGCAGATGTCGAGAGGTGTGGCGCTAATCACGAGGCAATTGAACTATTGCGCTCGTGTTTTGCGAAGTATAACCGGTTGGCTCATCCTGTGGCTATTCTTGCCTGGTTGGTCTATGTGAAGAAGGAATTCATAGACGAACTGCGAATGCGACAGCCGTTTCCCCTATTGATTCTGTTGCATTGGGGGGTCTTGTTGAATGAGTTGGGGAATCATTTTTGGTGGGCTCAAGGTTGCGGTAAGGATTTGGTGACTGAGTTGTTGGCTGAGCTGAAAAGTGAGAATACAGTGTGGGAACAAGCTTTGCAATGGCCACAAAAAAGGGTAGGGGTTTAAAGTTGAAGGTTCACTGGAGATAAAGTATGCATGTAGCTATATGCCTACCAATGTGAGGTACATACATAAAGGATTGTAATAGATTATTAGAGATATAATATACTATTAAACTCTCATCCTTTGCCTCCACGCCAGCCCGGGAAGAGCTCGACGATCACCACCCATTAAGACCCCTTCCAATTGCTTGCCGAACGGCCGCTGCGTATTGAGTTTACTGACGCTCAATCCACTTCTGAATGACCCCCGCGACCTGGTCACTGTTCTTCTCCAAGAAGACCATGTGACCATTGCCATGGATACCAACCTCGCCCAGCTGCAGATGCTCTGTGGGCACGCCAGCTTGTTGCAAGAACTTGACTGTGCACCAGTCATAGGGAGCATGATAAGAGGACTCAGTGGTCAAGATCATAACAGGGACTTTCTGCAGGTTGACCAGCTTGCGAGGGGCCGGATGATCGGCCTGAATAACACAGGGAGACCGCGCCGTGGAGTTGGTGGGGAGGACCTGACGCACAAGGTCGGTCGTGGGGTCCGAAACAGCGGGCTCAAAGGTGAGAGGAATGTCGGTGAGCCCGTATGGTCGGGAGGACTTGTTGCTGAAGACAGCTTCCTGGAAGGGTGGGCCGGTCGGCTCCAGGGATACAATGGCGTGGACGAGATCAGGGCGCACATCGGTGATGACCCATGGCATCAAACCTCCCT